CCGTCGGCGACAAGGCAAGCCATGCTGAGTGGACAAAATGGAGACTTTGTATTGATGTTTTACAGTCAGGATGGGCGGGCCCTGATTGACGGCCGCGCGCGATGTGCGCCGCGTCCCATATGTGCGCCGCGTCCCACTGCTGCCACATATTTCGCACCGTCGGCGACAAGGCAGGCCATGCTGAGAGGAAAAAACAAAGACTTTGTATTGATTTGTTGCAGTCAGGATGGGCGGGCCCAGATTGACTGCCGCGCGCGATGTGCGCCGCGTCCCATTCCTGCCACGCTTTTCGCATCGTCGACGACAAGAAAGACGATGTTGAGAAGAAAAACGGCCACTTTGTATTGATTTTTTACAGTCCGGATGGGAGGTCCCGGATTGGGTCGCTATCGGCTGGAATACGAGGTAGGTAGGGGTTAATAACAATAAGGAACAAGGATGGGGGGAGGAGGAGGAGGAGGAGGAGGAGGAGGAGGACGACGACGACGAGGAAGAAAACAACGAGGAGGAGAGAAGGAGGAGGAAGAGGAGGAGGAACTGGCAGCGCTGTCGTCGACATTGCTGGGCACGTGGCAACAGGAGGCAGCTGATACACAGACACATATCTATATACCCTCGTATTGGGCGTTGGCTGGACGTGGTGCTGTCCATCCTTCTCCGGGTGTTCGTGGTCTCCCTCGCCATCTAGGTGGAGTCGGTGTTGTTCACACCCGTTCGGAGGTCAAGTCCCGCGGGGAAAAAGTTTGCCGAGCCGCATCCAGCCATGCCGATGAAGTTTCGCGATGCCACTCCATAACTTTTGCCAGATCCCCTCCTTCTCCATTCCCACCCTCCGTTTCCTGTCCCTTCTCTGCCCGCCGTTCGCCAGAGGCTATCCGCATCTGCTCGAAGTTTCTCCATTTGCCTGACGTCGCCCTGAAAGCTCTCGTTAAGGCGGCGGCGGTTGATATGTGCCCATGCGCTCGACAGCAGCAGGAGCGAAGAGGAGAAAGCAGAGGAGGAGGAGGAGGAGGAGCCCACAGAACTCACTCGAGACCGACCCTAGAGCCCCTTAGGACCTCCGAGGAACAGAAGGAGGATGAGGAGGAAGAGGGGAACGGCCGCTGAGCAGTGGCGCCGGTCCCGTTGCCCCACCTGCTGGTTCCCATTGCAATTTCTTGGACTGATTGTTGACGCTTGAGCCGCAGCGCAGCGTCTCGCGAACACTGACGAACACGTGTCCGGCCCGCCCCTCACGAGCGGCCATCGTACTTCCATATCCACACCCTCACGGTCCGGATTCCGGGGCGCGATCCCGTGGATACGCGGTCGCACGGATACGGCTTGCTCAGGGCATCCGCAAAAAAACGTCCCGTATGTACGCGATCGCGGCCTCGGGACCCGGTTCGCGAGGCCCTGGATACAGTATGTCTTCCGCCCACGACCCCCCCCCAGAGACAGAATCGCTCGTTGGTGGCATAAGATCCTGAACAGCATGATTGAAAAGGTACGAGGGAATTATATTGTACTTCTCATGCGGGCGGCCATGGTGGAGACCATGCAGGAGGCTATTTGGGAGACCTTACGGGAGACTATACGGGAGACCTTATGGGAGACCATATGGGAGAGCATCCAGGAGACCATACGGGACACAATACGGGAGACCATACAGCAGATCATATGGCAGCCCTTATGGGACATCATACGGAAGTCCATGCGGGACACCATACGGGAGATCATACGCAAGATCATACGGGAGACCACACGGCTGACCATTCGGGAGACCATGGGGTACATCATACGGAAGACCATAAAGAAAACCATACGGACGCTATACGGGACACCATGCATGTGCGACACCATGCGGGGCACCATACGGAAGATCATACGAAAGACCATACGTTGGATCATACGTGAGACCACACTGGAGACCGTACGGGAGAGTACGGGAGACCATGCAGAAGAACATACGAGAGACCATTCGGAAGGCATCGCGGGAGACCACGGACCACAAGCCACCGATTACGGATCTGGATGATCTCACACGTGTTTTTGAAAATGTTCACAGGACCCTACAGACAAGCTGCATGTGGAAAAAATGCATTACAAGTGTGTTGTGTTCGGAGACAGTGTTTGCAGGTTGCACCCTGGTATTCTTGCATAGCCTTTCCGAGTGGCTCGGCTTGATGTTTGTTGGACATGCTCGATATGATAGGGCGCATGTGTCTGCACTCCTTTTATTGAAGGCCCTGTGTGATCGGCGTGCTTGTCTTTGTATCAGGGTACAGTCGAAACCGATGATAGGGATTGATGATTTTCCCAAGGGTACCCTTGCATCCTTGGCTCTTCGGTCCATCCTTGACCACTTGCGATGGCCCGCCGCGCTCGGAAAAGCTTCAACACGGGCGTCCAAGGGCCTTGCATGTTCAGCGTATCCTTGCTCTGTCGCCGTGCAGTTTGTTCCGACGCGCGGTCTCCCGTCTTGGGGAGGGCGCCTCGGCCACCAGGGCAAACACCGCCTCGGGCGCGGTGGGTTTGTCGTGGGGGTTGCCGCGGTTCCGGCTTCGTCAACCTGGGGCGCGGGACGCAGGGATTGCCGTGGGTTTGTTGTGGTGTCGGTGTCGTCCATTTGTGCGCGTCGAACACAAACGGCGCGGCGACATAACCGGGCACAGTTGCCCCCCTCGATCCGCCCACTCCCGCCAAGGATGGACCACATTGTCGCAAGGCGCAACGCGAGGGCATGTTTTTCTCTCGCGCCCCATCCTCTTGGCGACGCAGGGAGGTAAAAAACCATGCAGCGCCTCGCAGAAGCGTCCCTGCGCAGTTCTCTCGTTTACACGCACAAGCGGTGTGATTCCAGCATTGTTCGGAGGAGGAAAATGTATCCGTATTGCTACATTCCCTCGTTTTCCCCCTGTTGGCCTCAAAATCCTAGTCAGAACGCCCCCCGGGAAAGTCTGGGAGTTCCCCCATTTCGGCGGCGCGCCCATGGGGGAAATGAGAAGGAGCAGGCGTTTGCAGAAGGCGGCGGGACTTCTCAGGGGCCCTCTAGCCCTCTGAGAAGTGTTCTGCGAGTTCGGAGAAGGCTTAGAAGACTTCTCAGGAGGCCAGTGGCCTGCCGAGCCTCAAGAGAAGACCCGTCCCTTCTCGCCTCCCCCCTGGGCTCGCCGCCGAGCATTGGGAAGTGCCGCGTGGAGCCAGCAAGCGACCCCACAACTCCGCTAGAAGTGGCAAACGTGTGCGAGGTATTGTTCCATGCGCGGGCTGATCATATCGATTGCAGACGCCGCCCGCTTCGGCGGTCACATGGCAGTCGGCACGACGTTTGATAGTGTCCTGAAGAAGCGGCACTGCAGAGAGCGCCGCCGTGGCAGCTCCAGGACGCAAGCCAGCACCATGGTTCGTTCCGCCAGGTTGTCGCCTCAGTTGCGAGGCCCTTGATCTGCGTCGTTCCCCTTCCTGGTCCGACCGGCATACCGCCTCTGTCGCGAACCAGAACCTCAGCTGGTGAGCCTGGGCAGACGACTAGCTCGTAGGATTATAGCATTTGGAGACGCATTTGTTGATTGAGAGGTGTGACCCCGAAGCTTCTCGTGTTGAGATCTCTTGATTCACGGCCTTGGCCGCCCGTCCACTCGGTCTTCGCCAGCCCCGCGCAGACTCGGCCCCCATCAGTTGCGCATCCGCTTCGCCCATGCAGGCCTCGTGCTGATGCAATACAACTCCATCCCCCCTTCCCGGCGGCTTCTTTCTAAGAGTGGAGAACGGAATATACGTAAATTTTCAGAGCTCCACGCGGACCTCCGAAAAACTAATGTTTACCTATACGACCACCTTTCGGGTGATAAGGAGGTGCGGGGGGGGAGGAACCAACGTCTCACTCGATCGGTCTCACGATCGATCTCACTATCGATCTCACTATCGGTCTCGCTCGATCGATCTCACTCCATCGATCTCACAATCGATCTCCTTCGATCTATTTCATCCGATCAATCTCACAATCGATATTACTATCGATCTCACTATCGACCCCACTATCGATCTCACAATCGATCTCACATTCGGTCTCACTATCGATCTCACTATCGATATCACAATCGATCTCACAATCAACGTCACCATCATCATCAGCATCATCGTCATCAACGTAACCAACATCATCATCATCATCATCATCATCATCATCATCATCATCATCATCATCATCATCATCATCGGGACACCATCATATCATCACTCATCACCATCCTCATCAACATCATCATCACCACCATCATCATCGGGACACCATCATCGTCACCATCATCAACAACAGCATCATCATCATCATCGGGACACCATCCTCGTCACCATCATCAACAACAGCATCATCATCGTGACACCTTCATCATCATCATCATCATCATCATCGGAACACCACCATCATCATCAGCATCTCACCATCATCATGAACAACATCATCAACATCATCATCATCACCAGGACACCATCATCATCAGCAACATCATCATCATCATCATCATCATCATCATTAACAGCATCATCACCGGGACACCATCATCATCGCCACCATCATCACCATCGTCATCATCGAGACACTCTTCAACATCAGCATCATCATCATCATCACCATCATCGGGCCACCATCATTAAAAGCATCATCCTTACCTCATCATAGTCCTTATCATCAACATCATCATCGGGACACCATCATCGTCATCATCATCAACATCGACATCATCATCGGGACACCATCATCATCACCATCATCAACAGCATCATAATCAACCTCATCATCATCGTGACATCATCATCATCATCACCATCACCATCATCATCACCTCGTCAATTCATCATCATCAACATCATCATCACCAGGACATCATCGTCATCGGGACACCATCATCATCACCACCATCACCATCATCATCATCATCAACATCATCGACATCATCATCATCGGGACACCGAGGGGACACCGGCGGGACACCGGCGGGACACCGCGGGCCACCGGTCCCGGGAAAGGAATCATTTGGTCCGGCCGCGCCTCAGCCGGAGGCGGGACACTGGCGGGACACCGCGGGCCACTGGCCCCCGGAAAGGAATCATTTGGTCCAGCCGCGCCTCAGCCGGAGGAGACTTTCTTCTCGCCCGCCCACGCAACTTCGCCTCGCCCGCACGCACGGCACGCACGAACACGAAACCGAAACCGATTTCCCGGTAGGGGGGCTCTCCGTTCCACTTCGACCTCACCCCCTCACCTCCGATTCCATTTGTTTTGCCTTCCTCGATTCTCCCACGGCTGCCAACGCCCAAGTCCGACGCAGCGCCGACCGGCGGCGCCCCGCGAGGCCGTGCGAGAAGAGGAGGGCGGCCAGCTCACCGACGACACCACCATCGTCCTCGTGGTCTGGCGACCGCCAGCCGCGGCTCCCTCCCACTCATGAAAGCCGCGGTTCGCTTCGGTTGGGTTCGATGCGCGCCCGGATTGGTTCGGCCAGTTCGGCTCGCGTCTCAGACGGTTCGGTCTGGCCGCTTCGATTCGCTTCGCAGACCGATTGTGTTCGGCTGGTTCGGTTCGCGTCGCAGACAGGCTCGGTTCGGCCGGTTCGGCTTAGCGGTTTCGGTTCGGACGTTTCGTCATTTTTTTACGTTCGCCCGTTCATTTCGGCCGGTCTGAGATTTGGAGACCCGAGACCGCCAAAAAACGATTCATGATGAAGATTGGCCCTTTGGGGTTGGGTCGACCATGGTCGTGAGGTTCAACCGCAGATGTTCGAACACCCTCTAGAGCACCCTGCGCAGCACATCGAGCACGGGGCTGGGGGGGGGGCATCCGGAGATCTACCGATGGTGCGTCGCAGGGCCATCGGGGCTTGAAATAGCTTTGCGCTCACGCGCAGACTCGGCTACCCCCGCCTCTCGGTGTCCCCACTATCTGGCCGTCTTCGGCGCTGTCTTTCCATGAGGAGGATTCTGGCGTGATGCTCCCAAGGAGTCTGCCCCGCCATGCCGCAATCAGCATTCGGCGTGTCGAAACTTGAAGCGCAGACTATTGTCGCGGTCGACCATGGCGGGAGCCGACCTGGAGGCGAACGAGCGACCAGGCCACCACGCGGCAGGGCACGCGGTGTCTAATGCGCGTTGCGCTCGCCAGTGGCTTCCAGCACAAGTACATACGCAGGTGCTGTTGTGACCGCCCCATTGGCGCAGGCACGCCAATCCAGTGATTCAATCGAGTCCGCTCTCTTCAGAAACAGGTGCATACTCAATCATGTGAATCTCCTACTCCTCCTCCTCCCCCTCCTCCCTTGCCTCAGTTCAGGCCTTGTTGCTGCCGCTTGGCATGGCAGCAGCACTCCAAGCAGCACGCTTGCAACCGGTAGCGTGCACGGCTCATGGATTTGTCAGGGGGCATGATGGTTGCGCTTCTCTTCCCCCTCCTCCTGTTCCTCCTCCTCATCCTCCTCCTCCTCCTCCTCATCCTCCTCCTCCTCCTTCTCCTCCTCTTCCTCCTCCTCCTCCTCCTCCTCCTCCTCCTCCTTCGCCCTCCTCCCTCCCTCCTCTCCCCCCCCCTCCTCATCATCCTCCCCCCTCCTCCCTCCTCGCTCCCTCGCTCCCTCGCTCCCTCCTCCCTCCTCGCTCCCCCGCCCTCCTCGCTCCGTCCTCGCTCCTCCCTCGCTCCTCCCTCCTCCACCCTCCTCGACCCCCCCCCCTTGGCCCGGCGCAGGTCTTCAAGGACGCGGGCTCCTAGAGAGAGCCCCCCTCGGCGGCCTGCGGCCGAAAGCGGCCCCGCGGCCGAGGGGCCGCGCGCTCGTCCACGAAGCTCGTGCGGGCCGCCCACCAGGGCCGGGCGACGGCCCGCCATGGGCCCGCCCCGCGGGCCCTCCCCGAACGTTGGGCGGCGCGCCCAGGAGAGAAGGCAGAAGGGGGCGGGCCCTACGCTGACGTCAAGAACGCTGGGGGCGTTTTGTGCTCGTGTTCGACCCCTCGGTTTGCGGGCCAGCCGAGCGGGAACGCAAAAAGAGGCAGCCCAAAGCATGAAAGACGGCAGTACAAAACGGAACCGGACCGAAAACGGCGCGAACGAGAATCTCCGAACGGAAAAACAATTGACCCCAAAACGGGGGTGTGGAAACAATCTACTATCTTGAAAGAAACAGCGTTTCGAACTTCATTTACGGGCGGGCCTTCTCAGAATGCTAAGAAGGCCCCCGGCCTTCCGAGAAGTTGCCCGATCCTTCTCCGAAGCCACGGAGGGCTTCGCAGAAGGCCAGAGGCCGTCTCCGAAGGCGCCCCCCCCCTTGCCTTCTGAGAGAAGGCGCTTCCCCCCTCGGCGCGCCGCCAAGGCCTACTGTAGGTGCCTTGCGCAGCCACCGTCCCGCCCAGCAGCTGCAAGGGGAACACTGGCGCCGCGAGAGGCAGTCGTCAAGACGCCCTTCGTCTATCCTCTGAGTCTGCGGAGGCTTCGAGGACCCCCTCTGCAGCCGCAGAGGGCTCGACGGTCGATGTTTCTGAAAGCTTGGGGTCCGTTCCGGACCTCCTTCGCGGGGCGCCCTCATCGCAACGGCTGGATCTGCCTTGGAATCCCGGTCGGGAAGGACCTTGGGAGAGGTCGGGGGGGGGCAGTTCTGAGGCGGCGAGGCGAGCGGCTGAAGAGCTGCCCTTCTACAAAAGCAGGGGGCGTCCGAGAAGGGTCCCGCTCAACCCATACGCCATGCACTCTTTAGAGAGCCCGCGGCCTTGGACGGACATGTAAAGAAGATGAAAGGAAGGAGCACGAGGAGGTGGAAGAGGTAAGGAGGGAGCAGAAGGATGAGGACGAGGAGGAGGGGTGCAGGAGGAGGACGAGGAGGAGGAGCGAGGAGGGAGACGTGGAGCAGGACGAGGGGACGAGTAAGGACGAGGAGCAGGAGAAGGAGGAAGGAGGGAGGGAGGCCAGGAGGAGGAGCGAGGGTTGAGAGCAAGAAGCGAAGCAGAACGCGGAACGCTGCAGTGGCCATTCACGATCGCGCTGCCAAACCATAGCAAGGGCAGCGGGAGGCCTTCCCAACGAGGGCACGGGAAGCCTTTTGCAACGGGGGCTGTGCGGCCTTCATAACCCGAGGGGCACCCTGTCGCCATCCCTACCGACTGGTGGAAGACAGGACGGGTGCCCCCAGGAGTTTTTGCCGAGGCGCCCTGGGCTCTCCTGCCAGTGGTTTCGGCAAGGGCAGCAATCGGTCGGGCAGTGTATCCAGCAGGTTTTTGAACTGGCAGCTTCAGAGCTGGCCTAGCTCCTCGAGGGCCGGAAGACATTTCAAAGTCTCCCTTGCGCGCAGTTCTCACCCTCACGCTTTGCCACAGGCATCGTCACTGATACAACAACGAATGTCGTCACGTCGTCCGAGCTTGTCCGATCGATTGAAAAGTCGCTGCGGCGTGGCACTGCCCGCCCGATGGCAATGAGCAGGTTTTCCAGAGCCACGATCTTACAGCGATTGAGAAGTTGACAAATGGTATCGAAGACGCCTACGGCGAATCACCGCCGCCCCCTGCCTTTTTGGAAGCGCCTGCGTGGCCAAAAGTTGGGTTTGAGCTTGGCCAAGCTATCGGGCCACGCGTTCCCCGAGTGGATTGCGCAAGCTTTCGGGGAACACGGAGTCGGGCGAGCTATCGGACCAGGTGGTTTCCGAGCTGTCGGGTTTCCTCGAGGATTTGTTGGAGGGCTCTTGGGCCGTCTTGGAGGCTTCTGGCGGGCCTTTTTGGGCATATCTTCAGGCCATTTGGAGCCGTCTTGGGTGCATCTTGGGGCCATCTTCGCCGTCTTGGAGGCCGTCTTGGAGACCTTCTTGGCCGTCTTGGAGGCATCTAAGAGGCCATCTTGGCCGTCTTGGAGGCCATCTTCGGCGTCTTCGGGGCCATATTGGGCTCTTCTTGGGGCCCTCTTGGGGGCCTCTTGGGCTGTCATAGGCCCATCTTGGAAGCCTCTTGGGCGCTCTTGGGACGATGTTGGGGGCCTCTTGGGCCGTCCTGGGCCGTCGGAGAGCTGATAAGAAGAAAATGCAAAAATCCTTCAAAAACCTAAGGACAATCAATGATTTGTGCCCTTTCGGGGCTTCCTGGAGGACGTCTTGGAGGCCTCTTGGGGGCCTCTTGGCCAGTCCGAGGCCATCTTGGAGCCATCTTGGGCCGTCTTGGAGGCTTCTTGGACGAACATGAAGGCATCTTGGACTCTCTCGAGCCGTCTTGGAAGCCATCTTGGACCATCTTTGGCGACATGGAGGCCATCTTGGAGGCCATCTTGGGCCAACGTGACCATCTTAGAGGTCATCTTGAGCCGTCTTGGAACCTTGGCGGGATCCGGCCGAAGTCCCAGGGGGAGTTCTTTGGAAAAGAACCAAAACCACAATCGAAAAGATCTAGCACGCCGGGCACCCCTGTGATGAATCAACAGGGGGCGGCGGATCCAGCTGCCTGCAGCAAGTCCCGCCACCGTGCCAGCACAGCATTCTGGTTGGAAATTGTTCGAGGGGGCACGGCAGGCCGTCACGTGTGACACTTCGTGTCTCCAGGTTTGGGAGAGCTTTGATTGTGACGACGATGAGGAGCAGGAGGAGGAGGAGGAGGAGGGGGAGCAGGAGAAGGAGGAGGAAGAGAAAGGCCGTCACATGTGACGCAATTCGTCTTCACCATTCGAGGAGCTCTCATAGAACTCGTTTGGGCCGTCTTGTGGCTGTCTTGGCCTCCTGTGTGGCAGTCTTGGGGGTTCTTTGGTACCCTCTTGAGCCGTTCTGGGGTCCTCTACCGTATTGGGGTTCTTTTGGGCCGTCTTGGCGCCGTTTTGGGGTGTCGAAGGGCCTTCTAAGGCCGTTGTGGGTCCCACGGGAGGCCCTAGTGGACTCTAAAAAGAGCTGGGGCAAAGGCGGGAGATAGCGAGCGTTTGTCCGCGGCCGTTTGTGTTCAAGCGGTCGGCCGCCGAGATATGACTGTGCCTCATCGCCAGACACACTACTTGCCATCGAGACCGAAAACATCTTCGCTTAAGATGGCCCGTCGCTCCCGCGACGACCTCCTACGTTTGGGACTATCGTTACTACGGTACGACAGAGGGAGATGGGCGTCGCCTTAGGCGAAGCTGCTGGCTGGGCCTTCCAACCCCCTCCCAACTTGGTAGCGGAGCTGGCGTCTGGTGGGCAGCTCTAGTTTTATTTCTCACCATCCACGGCTCTATCTGGTGGACTACTGACATGGTGGAACATCAAGGTGCAGTGAGTCTGCGCGGAGGAATGTACACAATTACGCATAACCGCAAGGACACTTGCAGTGCTACCTCCGCTCTCGCGGAGGCCTCTTACCGGAGTCCTACTTCCCTGCGTTACTACACTCCTGAAGTCCACCCACCTACTCCAAAGAAGCTTTTTTTGAAGACACCATGCATGGCAACATGAGATACGACATTGTGCCGCCTCCACCCCCACGCAGGCTTACGACAAAACACCACAGTCCCCAGCCACCAATATCCGACCACGACACACGGGGCCACTGGATTGGCATTATTATTTTTGGCGTTCTATGGGTCGCTAGCGGGTGTGCCGTGGGGCACATGCGTGGCGTAGACGACACAAGAACAACTGGCCCCCACTGGGGCCCGGCCGGTCAGGTACTTTTTTTCCGCGAATTCGCTCGAGAGGTACATGCCTGGATCAGACCACAGGCAATTCGACCCCCTCCCAACAGGCAGCGGCACTACAGCGCCGTCTGGGAAGCCTCGCACGGACAATAGCCACGAGAGTTCCCCCCGCAGTCATCAACGTTGGCGTCAACATTGGTGGCCGCCACACCGATGGTGTCACCTACATCATGTTCCTCCTTAGTACGTGGTTTGAGAACTTGGAGGAGCAACGCCAAGTTAACTTGGAAACGGCTCTCATTGACCTTCGTGCCCATGCGGGAGAAAGGACCGACCAGACATTAGAACGCTTCGAGATAGCCCGCTACGAGGCTGAGACTGCAGGCTTCAACATCCCCAACTTCCAGATCATAACATTTATTCTGTTCAGGGCCTTAGGAGTGGGGACGTCGCGTGCACGACAACTCCTACAGCCACTCAACCACCAAATGTTGAGCAACCAACAGCAATGTGATGCTTTACTGGAACGCATGAGGTCATATGCCCACATTGCTGAACGAACCCATGGCAATTCTGGCGGCATCTTTAACCACGGCTACCGCACCGAAATCTTTCACACTGATACCGATACAGGGCAACCTGCTAGAAACGTCCGGGATGATGATCCACAACCTACAGAAACCACCATTTCATTCGCCCAAAATGGTGGTCCGCCTAAGGGGTCGCAAGATACCTGGGCTCGATATCAGGGACCGTCGGCAACGGCGGCCCCCACGCAAGCCACTACCCTTGCAGGCTCAGCGGGGCAAACGGCCGAGTCTGACTTCGAGTCTGGAACCGACACGGGCACGCAATCAGATGACGAAACGACTGCCCTAGACTATTCCGATATGCCTACATATCTTACAGAAGAACAACTGGCTCAATGGCTCTTCCTAGGATACCAGAAACATAAACGCAGATGGAAACGTTTTATGAAGAAGCCAGTCCGCAAGGTACGACGTACTATCAGACGGGCACTTAGGGTGAAGGGTAAGGGTCGAGGCACGGGCAAGGGCAAACGACGGCGATTGCATGGCAGAGGTGTGTTGGCATTCCTGGCATCCCTTACTGGACCACAATACGAAGAAATATTCCTGGGGGCAGGTATAGGCCGTAGACGTACCTCTGGAAAGGGTAAGGGACGTCGGGGCAACCCGAAGGATGCCAACGGTAAAACCATGGAATGCGACATCTGCCATAGCACGCAACACTTCCGCCGTGAATGCCACCAAGGCGATGGGAGAGGTAGGGGCCCGTCAATTCATTTGGCTCAAACCGCTTCGGGCGCACAGCATGTCGGCTGGGAGACGCCATTGGCCGACCCTGTAGATAATCCGACAGCCGCTGTCCACTTCATGGCTGCCAGGGATCTAACTGCTAGCATGCCCCTCGAGAGATGTGCCGGCGAGCTCTTCGGGGAGATCTACGTTGGTCACGATAAGATCAACCTGGCAAACTGGCTGGGCATACCCATCGCGGGGCAACCTACACATATCGAGTTCGTCAACGATTTCCATATGCCCGCCGATGTAGATCACGACATGGCGAGCACACCCGCGGATTCTGAAGCTGCAATTCCAGCAACAGAAGAAGCGATACAATTGATGCCCCATCCGCAGGTCATCGGCATTCCCATAGACATAGAATCATATGACGATGACCCTCTGCGGGGAAACCTGCCAGATGCTGGTGATCTTCCCGAGCGCATCCAGTGCGAGCTTGGACATAATGGAGACCATCCTTTCACGTCGGTGGTACATGAGCGGTCTCTGAGCCGCCATCAGCGGTCTGCAAGCCGCCAAGTTTGGAGACGCGCGGTTCGCGCAGGACGACGAGGGCGACTGGGAAACTGAGGACCGTCGCATGCAGCGTCACGGTCGCAGTTACTCACGCGGGCACTCACGCGCGCGCTCCAGCGGCGCCCAGCGCCCTCACCCTCTGGACACGCGGATCCCAAGGACTCCACAGAGAAGGGAGCGCTCGCGGGGAAACCCGTCTCAGATGGAGAACCGTCCAGCTGCGCCCGATGCAAGAGGCGCACAGCGCCTCGTCAGCTACGAAGAATATGGGCTGGCCCGCCAGTATATACCTCCCAACACGACGCAGCACTGGCTCGACCAAGGCTGGACCGAGCACGACATCCGCCACTGGCACTCACTTCGCAATGTTGAGCGGAACGACGAGGGCACGATTGTCTGCACCAACAGAGGCAAGGGCACCAAGACGGCCGCCAACCTTGAGAGAAGGGACCTCCAGAGGGCCGTCATTTAGCGACCGAGAGACCTACCGTCGCGCTGTCTGTGCTTGCGAACATTTTGCAGACCACAGACGCAGGTGCCCGATGGGGCGACCATCAAGTGGCCCCAATTTCGAGAGAAGTCCGCGGGTCTGGTCTCACGGAGATGGTTTGGGCGCAGGGTGGATCCGACCAATCATCCCCCTGCAGAATGCTTGACTAAAGCTGACTATCAGCCCATTGCTGGGGACGAGATCTAGCGGATCGAGCGAGTTCGGCAGCAACTCAACATTAATCACCGCCTCAAAATACACGATCGAGAATACCACGAAGAGGTGGATGACACACCACATGCGGGGCAAACCGCTTCTTCTTCTCGTGGAGGCGCCGGCCATCCAGAAGGCGATGAAGGGGCTGGTCGCATGGATATTGCCGAAGCGGTGGATCCCACAGCTGCCGCCCCTTCGAGGTCCGACTC